ACAAGATTGAAGTTAGATGTGGGCTGCTTCTTGTGCCCAATGAGGACTGCAACTTCAAGGCACTCTGCAGGGTCAGACCCTCCTGCCAACAGCTTCCAAGATGTAACCAAACAGCTCAGGGTTCTTGCTCAATTCGTATAAAAATTACAAATAGGCAAAATATAGCTCTTTAAGTGTTAATAGCTTAGGCTTTGGGTGCTAGTGCCTATCAGCTCTTTTAGTGTTTATGGCCCTCTTTGCCACTTGGAGCCAGCAGCTACAGCAGGTTTTGGATCTCTTCCAGCCACTGGAGTTGGCAGGTCATGGCTATTTTTTATTACTCTCCATTGTTCTCTCCTACCTGTCACCTTCACTGTGACCACCCCCAGCTGTTGGCAGCCTTCAGCACCAGTGGTTTTTGGTGTTGTCATCTCAGCATGCTTTACTCAAAACAGAAATCAAGAATAGGAAGGAATATGCCATCTGGAAGCAACTTTCTCAGGGTGTAGCTGCAGCATGAGGAGCAGCACAGGAGCTGAACCTGCTAAGGGCCTGGTGAGGTTGCGTCTAAAGAAACAAAGGCTTGTACACCGTAGCAACTCACTTTCCGTTTGGCCATGGATACAGGAGGAGGCCCTTCTGGACCCGGATGTGGAGGGCAGCAGGGGAGTGGAGCCATCCAGAGAGGCTCTAGATTTGGGTCACTTGGGATAGGTCCATGACTAAAGCCTATTTCACTGAAAGCAAAGCCTAATACAGCCCGACTGGCTGCAAGGCATTTGGGCAGCTGTGGAATAAAGGTACATTTTGGAGACCTTCATGACTTTCTCTCCTGTCTTACAGGCCAGAAAAGGACATTGAGGTAAGAAGGGGTTTCCAGGAAGAGGGAGGAGTTCACGCTAGGGCACAGAAGTGGGGGAAAATGGAGCATATGTGAGGACAGCATCAGGGCCAGACAGATAGAAAGACTTGTTTTCCACATCTGTATATGACAGAAGCCATGTGGCAGGGTGCACAGTCAAGTATGGGGCTAGTTGCCGTGGCAGCCTCCCTTTCTGAGGAACCTCCCTGAAGGATTTTACTTACCACGTGAGACAGGTGACAGGTGTCTGGTACGGAGGCTCTGGAGGCTGATGATCTAATTCAAATTTCACCACCGCCTGCATGTTGTGTGGCAGTGGACTCTTTCTGTGCTTTTCTGAGCCTTAATCTCTCCATCAGCAGTGAGCATTCTGGAGTTGTAAGAAGGGGAACAAACTAGATAAAGCATGTGGCTTGATAGACCACACCTGACATGCAGAAAGTGCCCCACAAGTGTTAGACATGAGTTTGCAGCAGCAAAAGTCTAAGGCAGGCAGGCTGGCCAGGGACATCTCCATTTCACTGAGAGATGGAGAAGATCAGAGAGGGTGTGTGCCCTACCTGAAGACACACAGCAAATGGGGAAGACCCCACTTCTGAAACTCCTCTGCTGCCAGAGGTGCAGAATATTATTCAAAGCACTCTCTTTCACTCTGAAAAGTGGACTCCTCAACTGTGCTTCCACTTTTGTCCCTCCTTTCTTTACCCCTATCCAGTCCATATCTGAGCCTTATCAGACTCTAGAGCTCAGCCAATCAGCACACTGCTCTGTCTAAGCACTGATTGGCCCAGGAGTGGCCATGTTTTCCAGCCTAGTCCAATGTGATTTTGTTCTAGGTTGCTGGCAGAAGGTGGGAAGTGAGGCCAGAGGGGATACAGTCGGGGGGAGGGGTGAGCCCGCACCTTCCCTCAGCTGGCTGAGCAGGAACCAGCAGAGGGAAAGCAGATCCCCAAGTAGGGGAGAGGTGGGACATGTCCATGTGGGTCCTTGCTTTAGTGACAACTGAAATTAAAATTACAGCACAAATTTGTAGGAGAAAAGCTTTAATTGACAGATAAAAGAAGATAGGGGAAAGACTCCGGCTTAGGTGGGAGCTGGAGGGAACTGCCAAAGGGGGAGGTCAGCTTTTAAGGGTTACGGTGGGCTGAGGTCCAGTTGATTATTCTCTCTGTCCTGGTTCTGTAGCTCAGGTTGAATCCAGTTCCCATGGGAGGGATCTTCATGGCTTGAAGGGCAGTTTCAGTTGTGCAAGGCTTTGCTGGAATCCAAGGTGACCATAGCTTTAGGGCAGTGGAGTTTGGGTGTAGCTGAATGTCCCCGTATATCTCTTATCCTGGTGCTGCCAGCCTTGAAGTGTAATGAGATAGGCTAGGTAAATTTAGGGCCAATAAATCTTGTTTTGCCAACTTAGACAAACACTTCCTAATGACTAACATGTCTATAGACAGAGCTGAAAAGGATTTGACCCAGAGTTTCACGAAATGAAGGTCAAGTTTTGTTTTACTTTTAGTTATCTCTTGGGCAGCTAACTGTAGGCCCAAGTGAAGTCACAGTTTTTTAGCAGAAAACACTCTTAGAGCTCTGACTGCCTCAAAAGAAACTTATGTTTTGTTAAGTAGGAGGTTAAGGCCCCAGGAGTTTTTCTGTCCCCTGACCCTACCGAGGCCGCTGACTATGTTGTGACTTTGTCAACCAGATGGCGCTTTTTCGAATCCCAGGCCAAGTGCCATCTGGTTGACACAGTCACAAGCAAGTGTCCTGGCTGCAGTAAGCAGGAGTCCTAATGACAGAGGGGAAATGTTAGATGTAAAATACGCCAAGTGTGTGTCCCCTGAAGTTGAAGAATGAATTGTAAGGAACAACAGAGGCTAAGAGTAGGCAGATTTATTGGAGAGAAGGAGAGGAGAATACGGGTGGGGAAATAGGGAATAGGATTAGCTCCTGAGAGACAGGAGGGGTCCTGGATGATTTGCCAACCAGCCCACCGCTCAAAGGAAGTTTTATAGAGCAAAATCATGGGTCAAAATTATGATCAACCAATAAGATTTCAAGTATAGTCGCTTAGGTAATTGTTATGGTTTGTGTCTGTGTGTCCCCCTAAAGCCTCCTGTGGCCATGGGGCAGGCTTTTAAAGTTTGATTGATTATGGGTGTGAGAGCTACACCCGCCCTGGGGTGGATAGTTTGCATATATAAGGGAGACCAAGAGGCTGCTTGGGGTGATTCCTGGCTTTTGTGCTTGTTGCTTGACTGTGTTCTGCCGCTATCAGCTGTAGCCCTCTGCCATGTGCCACTCTGCCTTGCAATCTGCCAAGTATGGACTGAAACCTCCACAAACTGTAATAAACCTTTTCTTCCTTCATTTTGGGTGTCAGGTATTTTGTCCCAGCAATGAGAGGAAAGTAACCAAGACAGTAATACTGATCCAATGGTAGCAAGGGTACATGAATGACATCATTAACCTTGGTCAGGCTTAGTCTTTAGTTTTAGCAGTCAAAGTCTTAGTAGTCTTAGTCTTAGTAGATGGGAGAGGATGGCCCACCCCAATGAGATAATGGGAAATCTCTAAAGGGTGACAGGTCTCCATTCATCCCTTAGGGATGTATGTAAAACTAGCCATTGTGACTTTGATCTTCAGATGCACCTCCAACCACAGTCCTGATACCTTTTCATCTCCTGCACTGACTCCCTCCACAGCCCAGTCCTGTCTCACTGCCTACTATATTTCTACCTAACTTAGCTGTCTATAATACTAGCAGGATGCTCCTCAGAAGTGTACAGGACAAGGCAAGGGTAAAAAGGGGACGATGGAAAGGACAGACCTTTGTGCTGGGATTATGTGTATGAGCCACCATGCCTGGCCGAAAAAAAAAGTATCAAAACTGTTTTTTGAGACAGGGTCTTGCTTTGTACTTTCAGGGTGGCTTTGAACTCACTATGTAGTCCAGGCTGGCCTCTAACTCATGGCAATCTTCTGCCTCAGCCTCCTGAGTGCTGGGACCTCAGGTGTGTACTGTTCTGCCCTGCCCAAAGACCGTTTTTTTAAATGTACAATTCAGTTTGCACGTTTGTTTTTTAGCATCTTCACAGGACTGTGCAACTATCATATAACGGTTTTGAACATTTACATCCCTCCCCCGCAAAAGTCTTACTTTTCCTAAGCCAGTCCACATTCTTCCTTTCCTACTCTACCCAAGCAACCACAGGTCTGCTTTCTGTCAGTCAGGCCTATGCTATGGCTTTCATTTGCAGAGAAGCAAAACCAGCGCTTGCTGGAGAGTGCATGCGGCAGGGTGGCCTGAGCATCTGTGGTGTAAGATCGCTGTGGCTGTGGCTGTGGCAGTGGCTCTGGCTGCAGTGTGAGGACCAGGCTCTGCTTCACAGTGACTATCAGACGAGAGGGTGTGGCAAACTCTCAGGTGGACATGCTGTTTTCTCTGCCTGGAAGATTCTTTCTTCTTTATCTTGTTCACTCCAGAACTTCAGATCTTGCCTCATGTGAATTGCTCGGACATTTCTGATCACCCAGATATGTTCGATCCTATCTTCTCCCCAGTATAATTCTTAACTCTTTTTATTTTTCTTCATAATACTCATCTCATTTCCTAATTATATATCTACATTACTGTGTCAGACTCTCCTTTTCCTTTGGAAGGTTCTTGAGGACAAGTCCCATGTGGTGTGCTGATCTTACTACCTCTGACACACGTCTGACCTTCCCTGGGTGGACACATGAATAATTGATGGATGGGGGTGTGGAGAGATGGGTGACGTGTGGTTGGACGATGGATGTGCGGCTGAGTGAGTGATGGGTATGTGGGTGATGGAAGGATGAGTGGATGGATGGTGTACAGGCATGTTGCCTCCTGCTGACTGGTTACAGCCCTGCTTGAGAATCCTCAGTGCTCAGAGGACATGCCACTGTCCCCCTTGTGTGGCTCATTTTCCCTTTCTCGCCAGGGCAGGGATATGAATCCAGAAACGCCAGGCTGGATTGTCTACTTCCCAGCACTAGGCTGCCGCTCCTAGCAGGCTCAGTAAACCCATTCTGGGCAGGGAAATTTATCCCGCCTCGCCAGCCTCGTCTGCGCCTGCGCCTGCGTTTTCCCAGCCGCTGCCCCGCGGGTGCGGATAGGGGGCGGGACCAGGGCGGAGTCTCGCGCAGACCCGGATGCGGCCCCGCCCCCGCAGAACCGGAAGCGAGCGGACTCTCCGAGAGCGGCGGGCGCGGCGGGAGTCCGGCTGACCAGCGAGGACCTGGTGGCGGTGAGCAAGCGCGGCTCTTGCGGCCGGGACGGGGCAGCCCCAGTGGGCGGTGAGCGCAGCGCCCGGAACGGGAAGGAAGTGGCGGTCTCACCGCGCTTCCGCTCGCGGTTTCGAGCTGCGGGGAGAGCAGGCGAGGCTATCCTGGCCTGCATCCGCGTCCCAGGGGTCCAGCGGGGAGGGGTTCAGGGGCCTGAGGGGGAGAGGCCCGGGGACCGAGGCGGTCGGGCTCCCAGGCACTGGCGGAGTGGGTCGTGGACGGGCACGGGGGGGGGCCGGAGGAGCCCGCGGGGAGCGGGTCAGGGCTCTGAGGGGGCGGGGCCTGGAGACAGAGGTGGTGGGGTTTCCCGGAACGCGAGGAGGAGGTCTGAGGGGGAGGGCTCGAGGGGAAGGGGGCCAGGGCCCCGGCGAGGGAGCCTGGGCCTGAGGTGTTAGGGACCCGAGGGGATGGGGTAAGAGGATGGGGTCTGAGGGGAGAGGCCCGGGTCCGAAGGGCCGGGGAAGGGGTGGAGGTGGGAGGGCGCTCAGTGTGTCGGCCGGGCCTTGGGCCGGAGCTCGGGATTGGCCGTGCGCACCTGAGGGAGGTTTGCAAATGGGGTCAGTGGAAATGCTGCGGCGCCGGGGAGCTGGAATCTCGAACAGCCCTTCCCTCCTGGGTGCGTGCCAAGGCCCCAGAAAGATGCCTGGGCGTTTTCCGCTTCTACATTTCCGTGCACGGGACAGATCTCGCTCCGACCGAACCTTAACCTCTCTGCTGGAGCGTTTGGGTGGGAGGGGACCTGTCGGGGCCCCTTGAGGGGGAATTTCATTTTCTGGCCATGAGCAGGATGTGCTCAGTTTTGACGTGGCTGGTTCTTTGTCAGGGGTGTGACCCAGTAGACCCTAACTGCTGATGCCGATAGCCATTCTGTCCAGCTGGCCGCGCCGTGCTAGCCTGGGATGTGGACTGGGAGGGCCGACTAGTCCCGTTTGTGAACTAAAGTGAGTCACCCGCTCCAGGGCCTTGACTCAGTGCCCCTTCTCTCTCTGGTTGGGGAAATAGTCATCAGAAGAAATTGAGGAAACAAGAAAGCAGCTTTAGGTGTAATGGACTTTCAGATATGCAGGAGTAAAGAATTGGGGATACAGTTATTTCTCATCAGGTCCCCCCCAGTAACTGTAAGTTCATCCTCTCTAAAGATGACTTTTTTTTTGGCCAATACTGGGGTTTGAACCTGGGCCCTTGAAGCATGTTAGACAAGTGCTCTACTACATCCCCAGCCCTTAAAAAAAATTTTTTTTTGAGACAGGGTGTTGCTCAGTTGCCCAGGCTAGCCTTGAATTTGAGATTCTCCTGCTTCAGCCTCCCTCCTGAGTAGCAGGATTACAGTCATGTGTCAGTGTGCTGTGTTGAATGATGGCGTTTAGTTGAACCTATCTCTAAAGCATTTCAAAATATAGTGAAATATACTTGGTGACTCAGACCCTTGACTGTACTCCGAAGGCATGTGGTTGAGTGTATGCTTCCTTGTGAGTGCCTTTACTGCCCCGGGTCACACCGTTCCTTGACCTGGTAAACTGATAGCAGGAGACTGCATATCTGTCAGCTTGTCTTTCATGGGTGTCTGTGCCAAGCAAGGCTACTGCACTCTGCTTAGGCTTGGCTCCTGTGAACCCTAAATGTGTGTGCTCTGGGATAAGAGGCTTTCTCTATGTGAGTGGGCCTTCTGACATCTACCTTAGCTATTCAGATTCTTTTTTTGTTCCTTTTGATTTTCTTCTGAGAGTGAGGTGAAGGGAAAGCTGATTCTGGATGGGTACTTTTACCCCATCTGTCACAGCGTTCTCTGGAATTTTTCACCCTGTTTATACAGGGCGGGATTACTTCGTCTTTCCGCATTCTTCTTTTGTGTATGTAGCATTTGCAAGAGAGGTTTAATATTAATGGTGTTGGGTGAAGGTCTTAATCTTCGAACAGTAATTTTTGGTAATAACTTTATTGAAATATAATTTGTATACCGTACAATTCACCCATTTAAAGTGTATAATTCAGTGGTTTTCATTGTATTCACAGAGTTGTACAGCTCTCCTCACAGTCAATTTTAGAACAGTTTCATTAAATCAGAAAGAATCCTAGACTGGGTGCCCCTATTGCCCCAGCTACTCAGGAGACTGAGGGTGAAGGATTGCTTGAGTCCAGCAGTTTGAGGCCAACCTGTGCTACATAGCCAGAGCCTCTTTATTTTTTAAGAAAGAAAGAAACCTTATACCCTAGCCATCATTTCCCAGTCTCCCCTTGCCCTAAGCCTGGGCAACCATTAATGTACTTTTGTCTCTATAGATTTGCCAACTCTAAACATTTCATATAAATGGAATCATATTACTGTATGTAGTCTTTCATGTCTGGTTTCATTCACATTGTACATGTGCTAGAGCTTTATTCCTTTTTATGGATGAATAATATTCCTTTTTTTTTTTTTTTTGAGACAGGGTCTCCATTTAGTTCAGGCTGGCCTTGAGCTCACTTTGTATCGGGGTAATAACTGTTAGTTGTTGCAGGCTGATCAGGCCTGCAGTCTCCCAAGCAAGTGGATGGTGAAGGCTTAAATAAAAGACAGTGGAAATGATTTCAGGGCTCCAGGAGGGACTAACTCTTACAGCTTCAGTATTCTCTGAGTTTAGCCAAAGGCTTCTCTGGGCAGCCCATATTTATTTGGTTTTCAAACAGAGGAGGAGGGTACTCAAGAAAAGGTGGGAATCTCGAAGGACCTTGGGAGAATTTTCCCAAGTAGTAAATTATGTCAATGAGGAGAACTATCTTATCTTTAGGTTGGTATTTATTGTAGGACTGTGGAGCCTGCAGCTGCAGTCGTCTTGTAGTTAATTGGGGTTGGAGCCAAATGTCCTCAGCTGTGATCTTATCTTGTCCTTTGAGGAGTCATAGGTTTACAGACCAATACAGGCCTCAGGATGACCAGGGACTCACAGAGGTATACTTACTATGAGTCCCTTGCCCATCCCCAGACAAGGTGCCTAAGCTTCAGACAACTCACAAGTAAACATGGAAAGCCAATTGGCTAACATAAATCCAGCTCAGAACCACTTTGTAGTGGTCTCCAACACTTTGTAGCACAGGCTGGCCTCGAACTCGCAAGGATCCTCCTGCCTCAGCCTCCTGAGTGCTGGGATTATAGGCATGCACGGCCACGCCTGGCTGCCATTTTGTAACTTTATCACGTGTTATGCATCTGTTTGTCAGTTGATGGACATCTGGATTATTTTTACTTTCTGGCTATTATGAATAATGATACTGTGAATATTCATGTACAAGTTTTTACATGGACTTATGCTTTCATTTCTCTTGGGTATATACTTAGGAATGGAATCTCTGTCATATGGTAGCTATTTAGCCTTTGGAGGAACTGCCATTTTCCATTCCCACCAGGACTATAGGAGGGTTTTAATTCTCTTACTATTTTTTTTTTTTTTTTTGGTGAAGTGTTGAGGATTAAACCCAACAGAGTCTCATATATGCTAAGCATACACTGTACCTCTGAACTACGTCCCCAGCCTCCCTTCAGACTCCCCCGCTTTTTAAAAACAAGATGGGAGCCTCTCTATCTTGCCCAGGCTGGTACTGAACTCCAAACTCACTTGAGTCTCCTGCCTGAGCATTCAGAATGCTGGACCTAGCATGCTATGTGCCCAGCTTCTTTGTCTGTTATTAAATGGGGTTATGTGTCTTTTTTATTATTGAATTGAAAGAATTCTTTATATAGTCTAGATACATAGTTTGAAAATAGATTTCTCTCAGTGAGTCATCTTTTCACTCTCTTATGTCTTAAGCACAAAGTTAAATTTTGTCCAGTCTGTTTTTTTCTTTATATTTTTGGTGTTATATCTAAGAAACTATTGCCAAACTTATGGTCTCAAAAATTAAACCTATTTAAGACATACATAAATACATGCATACATTTATTTATTTATTGCTGCTGGAGATTGTACCTAGGACTTTGCACATGCTAGGTGAATGCTGTATCACTGAGCTATATCCTCAGTCCTGGTGCATTTTTGAATTAACTTTTGTGTATGGTATGAGGTAGGAGTCCAGAGTCCTTAACTTTGGATTAGAAAAATACTGGTTTTTCAGTCATTTATTTTTGTGAGTTTTAAAACTTAAAATGCAGATAGGATAATAAATGAGAATAGATTTGAGCGTATCACTAGCTGCCCTTGGGTAGATTCTTTTCATTAGTACACGTTTGCAGTGCACAATGATTACATTCATCACAGGGACGTAGTTCATGTACATAACACATCTTAATTCTTTTTTTCATTTGCTTTTTGTGTAGATTTTTGAAGGTGCTGGTAATCAGTAGAGTTGCAGTAGCCAGAGGTACTAAGCAATCAACAGCAGTTAGGGTTACCAGCAGGGACTGAGGAAAGAGAAGGAGCAAATAGCTGGGTCAAGACCTAGGTGGGAAAATAAAAAGGATTGAGAAGCCCGGCCAGGCACCACCCTCTAGTTCCTGGGAAGGAGGGGCTACATGCTGATTCAAGTGGCTGTGCCTGTGGTTACTGGGGACAAGGGACTTTATTCCTCCAGTGTGTAACATGTAACAGCGTGGTGTCCACTGAGGCTGACTTGTGGCCTTCGGGAGGAGGTTGTGTGTCAGTGGCTTGGCCAGCATGTGGGGGACTGAAGTCCTGTTCCCTGTTCAGTAACTGTACATGGTCGCTGGGAACTCGGCTTGCCTCCCATTGGCTCCATCTCTGCACATGTCACTCATGTGATAGTCACCACCCGTAGCACTGGCTTTTCCTCCCAGGCACGTCAGGCATCCCTTCAAAGAATGTTTCCCTTAAATTATTTGTAAAAACTCACAATAATAAAACTTTATTGTTGCCAGCAACATTATAAATTAGAATAAATAAGAGATGGAAACTTAGCAGGATTATAGCAAACAGGAAATGTATACTAGCGCCTGAGGCAATAATTTCTGTTTGCATTAAGAAATGCCATGTAGTTATAAGTCTTTTGAAACATCTTATTTCTTTTTTAAAATTTTAAAATTTTTATTAGTATGTTTGCAGTACACAATGATTACATTCTTCATGGGCAGTTGGTACATGCTGATAACACATCTTAATCTTTTTACACCGCCCCCCCAACATCTTTAGTTCCTCTGTGGTGAGCTTTTTAATTAGTGAAATAAAGATCTTCCTATCTTCCCTCTTCCTGTCAGAATTCTTTACAAAATCTTTTTATGCTGGGGAGAAATCTTGAGGTACTCTAAAAAGCTCTCTACAGATAGATTTGCCCAGAGAGTCTGGCAGCAGACATCTTTTTTCACCCTTAATCTTTTTGTAGAGAGAATCATTCCTAAATGCCTGGACACTCCTCATTGAATTATTGTGTTTTAAGTGGAGTTTTGTGAGCACCCTTTCATCACTTGGGATGAAAGGATTGTATATATTGAGTATTTTTACTGTTCTTTCCCCTGGATATAAGGGTAAAAACCTCTTTACTGAAAAGAAATGGGAAGTTGGAGGGAGAAGGATGATAGTTTTCTGAAAGAAATTTCATTGTTTAAAAACAAGTCAGGGGCTAGTACTGTAACTCAGTGTTTGAGTGTTTCCCTAGCATGCACAAGGCCCTGGGTTTTAGCTCCAGCACTAAAAAAAGTTAGATTAAAAACAAGTCAAGCCAGGCATGGTGGCACATGCTGTAATCCCAGCATTCAGGAGGCTGAGGCAGGAGGATCATTGTGAACTCAAGGCCAGCCTGGGTTATGTAGTGAGTTCAGGGCCACCCTGGATTACATAGCAAGACCCTATCTCAAAAAAATCAACCAGCCAACCTGAAGTCACATTTCTAGTATTCCCCCTATCTTACAAAAGGGAGTTGCAGAACTCTGGAACTGAGGGTAGGAGGCATTTCTCAAACAAGCCATCCACCCCTTTTGCTAGTAGTGTTCTACTGCATGTGGCAGGAACCACCAGGCCTATAAAGCAGGTGGAAGGACTGCCCTCTCCCTTTGTGAAGTTGGTTTCCAGAAAAATCCGCGATTATGTGCTGCCCTTTGCCCTGATGAATCTGAAAAAGAGGCAGGCAGCTGCCTTTATCTTTGACATAGGGGTGAACATCATTTTTGCTAGCCCCACGGGACTCTTGTTCTTTCTTGAGATAGTTCCTCCAGTGACTAAAACTATAGTCCCTGGAATTCTGCCTATAGGCAGCTGCCCCTCTCTAGGATAGTGTGTTACTCAGGGCAGGAGAGAGGCCCTGGGCACAGTGTAGCTTTTCATTTGTGAATGGATGATTGGGACGAGACTGTCTGGTCATGCCTCTCAGTGCTAAGACTTGTTCAAGGCTGCTTTTTAAAATCTGCCAAAAGTAAGCCACATCTGGAAAGTTCTTTTTTGGGGGATTAGGGTGCTCTGTACGGTGGCTTTGTGTTTATGTTTATTAAGTTTATTAATACAGTTTAAATATACATAATGATCACGTTCATCACAGGGAATTTGTATTTGAACGTAGTGTATCTTTTATAAAGCAAAAACAATAAAAACGCTGCAGGGTTTCAGAACAAAATGATAGGAATTAACAGTGGCTGTTATATTGCATATTGTTATCTTCAACAAAGTTGCTCAGATTGCCAGATGTAAGAATGCAAGATCGATCAAACCATTAAAGAGAATAAAAAATAAAAACAGAAAAACCATTAGAAACGATACAGAGTTTCACTAGACAAGATGGTAGGAATTCACCAATGGTTGTTATATTGCATATTGTCTTCAAATTAGTTGTTTAGATTACCAGATACAAGCATGCAAAATTGGCAAAAAAGAAAAAAAAATTGGGCATTAACTGTTCGTTTCAATAAACCATTAGACTTCAGCAGTACAGTTATCTCAGCTATCCATATATGTATATATCTTTTCCCTTTCTTCTTCATTTCTTTCTTTTTCTCCTTTCCCTCATCCCAGTTGTTCCTTCTTTTGAGCAATTTCTTTCCCTTTCATAATATCTGTTGTACATTTTGGGTTTTATTTGTTCTTTCAGTGAACATAGTATATCTTGAGTCTTCTTTTTTTTTTTCCCTTTTCCCTCCCTTCCCTATTGCCCTCCTTAGCTATTAGTCCTATATTATAGCTATTAGTCCTTTGAGGAACAGTTGGCTAAAATTTTTTCCCACTCTATGACTTGTGTCATCACTCTTTTGATGATTTATTTTGGTATGCAAAAGCTTTTTAGTAAGTTGAGATCTCAGTTGTTGATTCTTTGTAGTATTTTCCTTGCGATTAGGGTTTGTTCATAAAGTCTTTGCCTACACCTGTGTCTTCAAGAGTTCTTTCTTCCAGCAGATTTAGTGTTTCTGTTTTAATATTTAAATCTTTGATCCATTTTGTTTTTAACATCTAGGAAATTCTTGCCATGTTTGGGGCATCTAGAGGAGGTTCAAGGTGTTTCTCATTTGAGGGACATTGTAGGTCCTGCCCACCTGGTGGCAGATGGTGCTTTGCCTAGGGGAAGTGGGAGGAATCACATATAGAAATTGGACAGCATGCACCATGATCAGTCTGTCACTGCCATCTCGGATGTGGCCTTTAGATCCAGGAGAGCTGGATGGGTAGCTGTAGAAGGAAGGTTCTCAGGCTGGGGCGGGCTTTTGTTCAGGAAACACAAGCCAGAAGAGCTCATGTGGAGCTGGAGGAGGGAGGGTTGGAAGTCCTCAGGTCAGACCTAGGTGCAGCTTTGGTTGATTGAATTAAAATAATTTCTGAGTTCATAGCCTCAGTGAAATGTACTATTTTCATTTTCTGTGGAAAAGGCATTCATTCTTTACATAAAAAAATATTTTTTAAACCTTTAAATGTTTGAAGTTACAAACAGAATGTCTTATCGGTGTCTGCAGATGTGTCATTGTTCTCTATACCAGACCAAAACTTACAGTCTTAAAGTACTGTGGATAAAGGTGACTGCTTTCTAAGCCTCCTAACATAGGAGGAATTGGCATTTTATATTCTGTGCATTTTCCCCAAAACATGAGAAGGCAGCCCTCTACCAAATTATTTGAAACATTTATTAAATCATTGAAAGATGATCATTGTTATATTTCCAGGAAGTACTTGAAATCAAAATGAGTCCTGTTTCTTAAAGACTTGTAATGATAATAAGCTGAACTCTTAATTGTAAGTTGGTTTTTTTCCCTACAACTGTCATTTAGGTTTAGTGATGGTGAAGGGCATTTGGTCATGTAGCTCCTGCCCTCCATGTATTGCGCTGGCATCTTGGTAGTTTGGGCCCTGAAGGCGGCTGTCCTTACTCTGTAACTTTGGTGCTGCCCTTCCAGATGTGGAAAGCATCAGCAGGCCATGCCGTTTCCATTACCCAGGACGATGGGGGAGCTGACGACTGGGAGACCGACCCTGATTTTGTGGTAGGAATCACCAGCCTGCCTCTGCTTTTCTTTTCTAAGAAAGTGATTTTCATGTGTTTTCTTCCTTTGGGGCTATGTATTTGCTTGTGTTCACGATCCTGGGTGTGGCATTTACTAGTTATTTTTCTTTTCAGAATGATGTAAGTGAAAAGGAACAAAGATGGGGCGCCAAAACTGTGCAAGGGTCCGGGCACCAGGAACACATCAAGTAAGAGTCTCTGTGATGCTGTGGTGAATGGGGCCCTCCCTCTGCACACTTTCACCAGTGGGTCCTCCGCAGGGTGGGAATAGGCCACAGCAAGGGACATCTACTGCTGACACTTGGGGGTTGCTTTTGCTTATTGTGTTGACGTGACATTCATAGAGCAGATGAATGAATATAAGGCAGGACACTTGTGTTTAATGCATGTTTTTATGTATATGTACTTACATGTATAGATGTCCACCAATTTAAAATCTCCACTGCAAACGATTTCCTCACTTACAATTCTGGAGTGTCTGCTTTTGCATATTGTGATTTTCACTGGGGGTGGTAGTTGCTTAAGTTCTTTCTCCAAATAGGAGGCTTCTTAAGTGTGAGGTGTCATCGGATAACTTAGACCTTAAACACCCTCCCCCTTTTTATTATTGTCTGAAAATCATTGTGTGTTGCAGAATTTAGTAGCTGTGTAGTGTGAACTGAATTCCAGGCTTTGTGAAGAGCTAGAACAGGAGACAGTGAGCTGTGTCATTGTTTCCGACCTGGCGCTATCTGAAATGCCAGCTCTGGGCAGCTTGTTTTCTCATCAGGAAGCATTGATAAAAGGGCCTCTAAAAACAATCCTCAGAGGTTGGTTTTAGGCCACATTGGTCAAGGTTGGTTCTCCCTGCCCTGTGTTGTGATGGCAGCACTGCTGACCCGGTGACCTGCTTTGGTACATGGGAAAGGCCTTGGCCATAGTATCTGGCAGAGGAAGGCTCAGTAAATCACCCCGAACAGCACAGAGTCTGCATGTTGACATTTTAGAATATCCCTTTGTTTTGGTATGAGTTTTTAATGAAATGGGGTCTTATATTGCCCAGGCTGGTGTTAGACTCCTCGACTCAAGTGATCCTCCCACATGGGAACTCTTTAGCCTGAACTGTTAGTCCCTCCTGGGCTTGCTCAGCTCACACCTCCCGCAGAAATGACCTGGGGCTGGCTAGGAGAGGAGATGAAATGGGTATTTCTGGCATAGCTGTTTGCCATGGGGTTAGGCAGACCCCTGAATTGGTTAGGTCATCTGAACCTGTCCCCAGTCTTTTGTTCCTTGTGGCCCCTGCACGTGTTGGGCAGGGAGCATGGATGGAAAGTGCACAGGACTGTCTGGGATGGCAGCCTCTGGATGGATTAGGATTCCAGGGGGGAAGGTGTGGGGGTGGGATAGTTCTGGGCACCCTGTGGCTCTTCCCAAAGGTTAGGAGTAGGGTCTTCTTCCCTTGCTCGTAGGGAGTCAGGTAGTTTGCAGGTCTGGTGTGTGTTTTATCCACACTTTTGGGATTGTTGTCTTTGTATCGAAGGTACAGGCCTCGTGTCTTCTGGGCCAAAAGGACTCTATGCCCAGGTGGCTATTGTGCTGCTCTGGAGTCTAATGGTGATAGCTCCTTCATGGCCTGCCAGATTTTGATCTGCTCAATTTTGATCACTAAATCTTGTGATCTGCTTCCTGCTCTTCTGTATTTAAAATGAAAAATGTCTTTTATATGGTAAATTCTGAATGTCTCTCATCTCTTTTTTTTTTGGTACCAGAAGTCGAACTCAAAACCTTGAGCTTGCCAGGCAGGCACTGTGCCGATGAACGATATCCCTGGTCATCTCATTTTACCTTGAAGGTGTAAAATGCTTGAGTACTTCAAGAAAATACAGACTCTCAGTATTAGGCATCCTTGGTGGCTTTGGAGATCTGGAGGAAGGGCCCTTTGACTATTTCCTTCTCCGCTGCCTGATGGCATTTGCATGGCTGGTGCTCCTAACCCATTTGTCTACTAAAATGAGCAGCCTTTCTCCAAATGAAGTGGACTTCAGATTTTATTTGGGTACCTTTGGGGGAGTTGGATGGGGCCATGGTGTGCATTCCGAGCAGCGTTCTTCCTCCCATACATTTTTGCCTGAGAACTGCTGTGGCGGATGCCCCAGCTGGCAGGATAGTCAGGAACATATGTAGAAGGTAGGCAGTTGGAAAGTACCAAAAAAGGAAAGCTTTCAAGTTTGCAAAGGCGATATTGCCTGTCTTTATTTATCCCATTGCAAAGTAAGGCCACACATCCGTTTTAGATTTTTTTCCCCCATTTTTATCTCTTTCCTCAAGCATACACAAGCTAAGAGAGAACGTCTTTCAAGAACATCAAACTCTCAAAGAGAAGGAACTTGAAACAGGACCAAAAGCCTCCCATGGTTATGGAGGGAAATTTGGCGTGGAACAAGACCGGATGGATAAAGTAAGTGGGCGATGGCTGTCTATGCGGGGCCCCTGGTTGTGTGGGCTGCTTGTGGTGGGCCAAATAGTTCCTGACGTTTTTCCTTAGATTAAATGTGTCCGTTTGTCGGGGGTGAGATGTGCTCAGAGCAGCCCTCTGTCAGTCGAACCCTCTCACAAAGCTCTCCTGCTTTTCTGGAGGTATTTTTGAAGTTCTGAGAGGTGCTGACAAATTGCTGATGTGTAGGGAGCCCTAGCGGGGAGAAGTTATTGGACTGCAGATGTTCTAGTCTCTGCTGCCTGGGTTCCAGCTTGTGGTTTAGGCTGTACCACTCCACAGAGCAAAACCATATTTTTGGGCCCCCTCGTCACATCATTCATGGAAATTCTGCTAGCGGGTAGCTGACATCCCACGTGCCTTTACTGACCTGAGTGTGTAACATCAATACTATGGAAGCTGCTGAGTGCAGCCACCTTCACAGCACTGCAGGCTGTTCTACCTAAGCAGGTGAGTGTTGGCTCAGGAAGGCTGGCTGGTTTTTCCTTGTAGAGGAAACAGTGCAGATAGCAGCATGTTGGCATGTCTAAGTAAACCAGGTCTGACTTGTGCAGACACTCTTGCAGCAGTGAGTTTCCAGCTCTGAGCAACAGGGGATTGTTCTGAATGGACAGGTGTTGCTTGCACTGTGGAGAGAGATGAAGGGATCAGCCAGGGTCAGGTTCTGGTAGGTAATTCCATACGTCTGCTCTTGCATGGATCGAGTTCAACATCTCAGCTGGGCATGGGATGACAAAGCTGTGTCAGAGTGAACCACGTGTCACTCCACCAGCAGAGCAGAATGGGGGGTGGGGCTGGGGCTGGAAGCACCCCAACCACATGTAGAAATAGCCTGGAACTGGAGGCTGACTAGGTGCCATCTGCAGGAAAAAGATTTGGACATTTGCTGTGTCACTTGTGTCACTTCTACAGAGATATCCTGATGTTGAAATGGGTAGTGTGCAGAAAAGAATCACCTTGGGGCTCTGAATACACCTTGGGGCTCTGGTAGCCTGCAGAGCAGCAGAGCAAAGCAGCAGACAAAACACTGCATCAAGGAGGTGGGAGCCTTTCCCATTTGAAACTGCTTGTGCTCACTGGGATCATGGGGAGTTAGTGCAAAGAGCGGCTGATGATGGAAATTGAGCTCCAAGTTGGGGTGGGGAGATTACACATTAGGGAAAATGATGACAATTTATCCAGGAAGAGTTTGATTCAAAATATGTTGGTTTCTGGCTTCTCTGCTGCTTCTCAGGCTGTGCCTTTTGTTGGCCTGAGTTTGCTCAGTCTTGAGCCTGCAGTTTAGGCCTCGTCTCTGAAGAGCCCATCTCTTCTTTCTGCCCCACCTTCCCACTCTGGAAACCTGCCTCTCCCTCATGCTGGCTGTGGCATCCCCCTGTCAGCTGTTGTTGCCACATTGTGCTGCGCTTTGCAGCGAGACTCTTTGGCCTGCACTTTTTAGGGCCAGCACTCATTCTTCTCACCTATTGCTGACCTGGAATTGTACAAGGTGCTCGGGGACATGCAGTGAGTGTGCAGAATCAGGCTTAGTGGCTGCCACACATACCCAGGGTCCTGCTGGCTCAAAGAATCACTCACCTTTGAGTGGGGCTGATAACGATCCTGCAGCAGTGGACCCAACAAGGGGTGCTGCTGCTGCTGCTGCTGCTGCTTAGTCCTGGTGGCTTTCGGGCCTTTGTGTCCAGGAACAATCAGCTTTCAGCTCATGTTGGCACTGTGAGGCCAGCCTTTTTCAGAAAGAACTGATAGTAAACCTGGGATAAGTGCCTAAGCTCTTTGTAACTTGCCCTTTCCAGAAATTGAAAAAAAAATAGTAAGGTCCTTGTGCAAAGAATTGAAGAACTTGTGACAGACACTGCTGGAATCATGTTTTGGGCAGGGACAGGAGCTGTCGGGATTCTGGTTGTGCCATTGTCTGAGCACATTCCGCCCTTCTCCTGGGGTTGAGATGGCTGTGGTGCATTCTGCGGGCTTCTGCTTCCCTGGTCACTACTGCTTCCTATACCCCGGTCTTCAGGACAGAGCTCCATCTGCACAACTATGTAATAACAAATGTGACTGTGGCAATAGAAGATTAAAGACACTTTGGGGAACATATCTATTTTGGTCAGAAAGCTGTAACTGTTGCCAAATATAGTCATCCTGGCCATATTTTTAGAACCATTTTCTTATAACTTTCGGATTAAAAGTCATGCTGAAGAATCCCTTTGTCACAGCTACCTCTTGCCACTCTCTCATGGACATTTTCTGGTTGAGATCGTAGAGGCCATGGATGGCCATGTTATGGTTTGTGTTGAGATGTCCCCTCAGAGCCTCATGCAGTCATAGGGTGTTTTCAGAGGTGGCTGAGTCTAGAGCGTGTGATGCTGGGATTAAGGGTGTGTGATCAGTTCACGGGTTGGTTTGGCACCACCCTAATCCCAGCAGCCTAAATAGAGTGTAAAAGGGGCAGAAAGATGCTGTTAAGGTTACTTGCTTGCTTTTTGCTGTCTTCTGCCACCATGAACTGTTGCCCCTCTGCCATGTGCCACTCACCCTTGGAGCCAGCTGTGGATTGAAACCTCTACAAACTGTGAGCTAAACGAACCTTTCCTCCTTTAACTTGGGGTGTCGGGTATTTTAAGACAGTCTGTCTGCCATGGTTAGGGGTCCACAGCTTTTGGCCTGGTCATTGCCTCAGGGTGAGCTGAGGAAGGAAAGACAGTAACATGACTCCAAAGGCTTTTTTCATTAGGACGGGTGGACACTGAGGTGCCTGCTGAGCATCACTGATGTGTTGAACTCTGCCCGCGTTAGAGGCCAGACCCAGCATTTGCCAAGTAAACCGACCAACCAAGGGAGGGCTGTGGTGCGCACCAGCAGCCGAGGTCAGGGAGTGTACCAGTGGGGAGATGGCATATGTGTTTGGATGCATGTGGGCCCTTCCCATGCCCCTCACTGGGTCACCTCTCCTCAGTACCCTTGAAGGTGTCCCCGGGACACCATCCACTGTGGGACAGCTGTGGAAGCCGGGGCCTGACTGTGCTTGGTGTGGGGAGCCATTGGGGCCAGGACAGCGTTGTGGTCACAGGGTCTGTCAAGGCTGCTGCATTGGGTGGAAGCATCATAGACACAGCCGGGTTCCCAAAAGTGTCATTTTGGGAGAGGCCTGCCCTTCAGGCTGGAGTTTGCAGACCCCAAGGTGGGAAGCAGGCCAAAACCCCAGGCTCTGTTTCCTCACTTTGTCACCTGTGGATATGTGACATACAGAAGAGTCCTGAACCTGGGCTCCCCTCTGATGGAGGCTGACAATATTGGGGACCCTGGAGGGAGCCAGTTTGGGTGACAGCAGTTGGCACTGTGCCTACATGGCACGTGTACTTAGGTGTTGATTCCAAGTCTATTATTACTAAAATATACTTTTCTATGCTTCAGTGTGTTGGCAAAATAAATAATTGTTTGTCCAGATTTGCTGTTCATATAGTATGAAAAAGCCTTATTCTTTTAATAGAGTAAATGTATTGCCAGCGATCTCCATGTATATGGATCTTATGAATTGTGTTGTCAGCTGCCGGTTGTTTTCTCATGCCCTGTGGCATCCACAGCTCCTGTCAGGAGTTGTGGTCTGGGAGTCCTGTTGCTGCAGCGGAGGAGCCCTGCACCAGGGACTGACAGCTCGGGCTGTGGCTCTTCCCAGGAGCCCTGCGGCTCCTCCTGGGGCTCCTCCCAGCCCTGTGTCTGTTTGGGCATTAGGTGCATGGAGGAAATGCCTGCGCCTGGGTTGTTAATGTTGCTCTAGGCTTGAGTGTATTATACTTTATTTTTGCACTCTATTCCAGTCAGCTGTTGGCCATGAGTATCAGTCGAAGCTTTCTAAGCACTGCTCTCAAGTCGACTCAGTCCGGGGTTTTGGAGGCAAGTTTGGTGTCCAGGTGGACAGAGTTGACCAGGTGAGTGATGGTCACAGGAAGTGGCCCTGCTCTGTGCTGATCACACTGCCTTCCACACCGATATGCTAGTGCTGTGTGTGCCCTTTGGGCCACTTGCAGCAGTGTGCTGGGAGGGGTGTCTAGACAAGAGCTGGCAGGCCTCTCCCCCGGGATGCTCTGAGAGGGTGGGCTGACGGGGTGGGGAAGCAGGGTAGAAACATGTAAAGAAAGGCCTTTGTCACGTTGGCTTAGAGGTCCTTGCATTGCTGTCTGCTTATCAGATGGACTGGGGTCCTTCTCTATGTGCCCTCAGCATAGGATACCCTTAGATTTATTGCCTAAGAATGTGCCAGTGGGGACCATTCCTACCCATTTCCCTTCATATGTGTATCACTGTGGCAAGTGCTGCTCAGAGTTCTTCTGTGGAGCATGATACCCTTGTTTCCAGGGCTGTAGGCTGGGTCTGGATATTCTGGCAGGTTCAGGCCTGAGCCTGTTCTGATTCCCTTTGGGTCAGGGCCGTCAGTGCCTTCATTTTGTAGCATGGCAAGCAAGAGCCTGGCTTTGGACAGACCTTAGTCTGTGTTCCAACTTTTTGAAATCCTAGCTGTCATGGAATTTCCATGTCAGTAAAGTGGGAGTAATGCTAATCCCTAGCTCATGGAGCTGTGTGGGAAGCAGGGCAGATACTGTGTGCCCAGATGCTCACCATGGTGCCTGGCTCCTGCTGCTGCTGTTGTTATTAGTACTCATTTTGTTCTTAGGATAGCTTATTTGAAGAATGTGTTTCTGTGTAGCAAAGGGAATTGTTCCAGATTGGGATTATGTGGCTAAAATACATTAGCTGAGCATGATCTGCAGCAGCATGCTGGGGAGGAGGCCACGTTGCCCTGGGTACAGCTTGACTGTGGAACTTGCCAAACTCTGAAAGTATTTTTTTAGCACTAATAGGGATTGAACCCAGAGCCATGCACATTCTAGGCAAGTACTCTACCAGTGAGCTGCACTCCCAGCCCTTTCAGTTTTGAGACAAGGATGCACTAAGTTGCTCACGTGACTTCAAACTAGTCATCTTCCTGCCTCAGGGCCCCCCTGAATTGGTCAGATTATAGGCATGTGCCACCATGCATGGCTGTGGACATTTTATCACATGTAAACTCACAACAGGGGCTGGGGATTTAGCTCAGCGGCAAAAGCGCCTGCCTGTCAAGCGCAAGGTCGTGAGTTCGGTTCCCGGTACCAGAGAAAAACCAAAAACCAAAATAAATAAATAAATAAATAAACTCACAACACTAGAGTTCTTGCCATTAATTTGACCTACATTTGACTTAGGAAACCAGTCAAAATATAACGTAGTTTGTGGTTTTTGGGGTTTTCTATGTATTGTGAACTCAGAGTGGCAGTTTTAGAGGCATTTAAAAGTGCACTTTGCCTTTTATTTTCTGTAATTGCAGTCTGCAGTAGGCTTTGAGTACCAGGGGAAGACAGAAAAGCACGCCTCCCAGAAAGGTGAGCTGTGAAATGTGTGGACGGGACCAGAAGCAGCCCTGTAGGCAGCCGAGCTTTGAAGGGAGAGGCCCGGGTGCCTGAAGCTTGCTTGTGGGGTAGGAGGGCTGTTGCCTAGGGAGAGTTTGGCTCTCTGAGTTCCTGAGTCACCTGGATGTGCTGTTAGGCAGCACACATAAAGCTCTGGCATCTGGTGTCATGGTAGTGCCTCCCAGCTTTCAGCGGAAGCCAGTCCTTTTCTGAGTGATGCTGCTCTCTAACTTTGTTGGCAAAAAAACTAACATTCCCTCCTAAGAATACGAAGCAGAGTTACTAAATTCTCATTTTCGTTATATACGTATAGTGGTAAATATGGTAGTGATTCATCTTTATGTCACCAGTCTCTGAAGCCATATTACTTTCCTTAGAATGCTGCATGTGTTTTCTTCAGGCTTATTTAATTCTGCCTTTTATGTGTTATCTCATAATTCAGGAATGAGCTTGTTCACGAGCAGCGCAGGTGTAGTTAACTGAAGTGTGGGCATATGAAGCAGTAGGGTCTGATCTGTAAGGTTTTCAGCTGCATAGCTTTTGTTATGCCCTGACCTGTACTTGACCAGTTTTTAAAGTGGCGTGCAGCTTTATATCTGCCGGTGGGAAGGAATTGCCCTGGAGCAGTGGAAATGGACGCATGCTCTACTGTGCATGGGTTGTAAAGGTTTCCAGCATCACCTGTGAGAAACAGTGGGCGGCTTGTCTGTTTTAAGATGCATGCTTCATTTCTTGTGGCTGTAACTCCTGAACACTTCCATTTTGCCCAGTTTAACAAGAGTGGCACTGCAGTTTGTCGTCATGTTCATGCTGACTGTTCTCCTGTCTCCTTAGACTACTCCAGTGGCTTTGGTGGCAAGTACGGCGTGCAGGCTGACCGGGTGGACAAGAGTGCTGTGGGCTTCGACTACCAGGGCAAGACCGAGAAGCACGAGTCGCAGAAAGGTGAGGGGCTTCTTTCCTGTCTTTCTCCTCATTTAGAAGTGAAAGGAGTCCCGGAGGGGATATTCTTCTTTGTATAAATTGGGTTGTGTTATACATGCTTTTTTTAAAAGAAAAATTTTAAATGTTTTGATGTTCTTTTTATGTGAGTGATATGGGTGTCTCATGTTCTTAGAAGCTGCTCAGTCCTCCATCCTGTAAAGATTCCATAATCTCTTTAACCATTCTTTCTTTGAGCATGAAATTTAGGTTATTTGCAGTTTTTTTGATGTTAAAAATCGACGGCAGTGAACGGTTTTGTACCTGTATCTCACACATGAGTGATTATTCAAAAGGGCCAGTTTCTAAAAATGGAAATGAGAAGGTCAAAGGCTGTTAAAATTTTGATGGGAGCTGGAGATGTGGGTCAGTGGTAGAGGATGTGCTTCGCATGTGCAGGGCTCTTGGTTTGAGGTTCAGCCCTCTGAACAGCGCTAAAATTTTGATAAAATACTGCCAGGCGGCAGTATTTTGGAGGATGCATGCTTTTTCTCTTCATTGTTACATACCCAGTAGACCTCACTCAAAAACCTTTCTGTTACAGAGGTTGCAGGTCATCAGAGTCCACACCCTGCCTGGCGGTCACGGCTTCTCTGTCCCCCTGCACTGCTTGTTTTGTCTGGCCTGCACTTTGCAGTTTTTTAAATGCCAATATTTGAACACTGAAGACTTACTTCTTTCAAAAACAAAAGAAAGCAGACAACACCACTGAAGTTCAAAGCAGGCTGACGTGGTGTTTTCCCATGCACGGGGCTTGTGGGTCTGTGGAGACACTCAGCCTGTGGTTTGCGGGGGCCCACCCGTTGGCCTGCTGCTGGCCTTAGGTTCCTCTCAGCCAGAGTGTGCAGCCTCGCACCCAGGCCGGTGTGTGCGCGCGGCGCTTCCCAGGGCCTGCCTTCAGTCCTGTGCTGCAGGGGCTCTGAGTGGAAGAAGAGTCACAGGCTTCAGTGCTCTGGGCCTTTCCTCACAGGATTTGAGTTCATGCTCTGTGCCATAACCAAGTCCATGAGAGTCATGCTTTAGAATTGAAGTGCCTTTTAAATGACTAACCTTTAAGTAGAATTGATGTTTCTGGAAGATGTGCCTTGTGTGTTCTTTTTCTTAGAAAGTCTTCCCCAGCAGGTATCTGTTTGCTTTAGAGATTGTGACACAAACCACTGTAGGCATCTCAGCCTCAGGCCTTGTTACTTACTGCTGTCTTTTGGAATGAGGGATGACACTTAGATTACTAACCTGCTGTTCATCAGCTTTTCATCCTTGTCATAGTCTACCTGGGATGAACACCTCACAGGAGGGAAGGGTTATTTTGGTTTACAGTCTCAGCCTGTGGTCACTTGGCTGTGTTATTTCTGGGCCACGGTGAGCCACATGACGGAGCAGAGCTGCTCCTCTCACAGTGGACTGGAAGGAGGGTGGGAGTGAAGTACTATATCCTTCTAAAGCCCCCCAAAGTGACCCGCCTCTCCCAGCCAGGCCACACCTCCCAGTTTCCACCACTTCCCATAGCATCAGCAGCTGGGGAAACAACCTTCAGCACACGCACCTTTGGGGGACATTCCAGGTCCAAACTGTAACATCAAGGTCTTTACCATCTTTATGTTCATATTATGACACACAGATATTGTCCACATTACTCAGGGATATTCTACCAAGCCTGAGTCAGTCCATCTGTCCTTCCTGGGCATGGGTGTTATCCTGTTATCCCCACTCCTTGGAGTGTGAGGGAGGATGATCACGAGCTTCAGGCAGCCTGGGCTATGCAGCAAGACCTTGTCTCAGGAGCCCAAGGGGAGAAATTGAGTGATAACAGTACTTTTTTTTTTTTTTTCTCTTTTTTTTTTTGCGGGTACTGGGAATCGAACAGGACCTCACACTTGCCAGTCAGGGTGCTGTGCCACTGAGCTATATCCCCAGCCCCTAACAGTACTTTCTTAATGACTACTAAGACTCATTGAATCTATTTGCTGGTTTTTAAGTTGTCTTTTCTTCTTTGTAGATTACTCCAAAGGCTTTGGTGGCAAATACGGTATTGACAAGGACAAAGTGGATAAAAGCGCTGTCGGCTTTGAGTATCAAGGCAAAACAGAGAAACATGAGTCCCAGAAAGGTGTCTTCAGTTTTCTTTTATTCTCTAGCCAAGAGAATAATGTGACAGACATTAGCCAGGCCAGAAGGGGGAAAATGTTTGTACCCTTAAACCTTAAAGTACATATTTCTTTTTATTAAGTATTCAGTTTTGAAACAACTAATCCATTTACCAGATGCCATGGCTCATGACCGTAGTCTCAGCACTCAGGAGGCTGAGGCAGGAGGATCTCCTGAGCCCAGGAATTCAAGACTAACCTGGGTAACATAGTGAAACCCTGTCTCAAAAATCATAAGTCAAAACAGAATACATTGAATCCAAAAACACAGTTCTTAAATAAGAAATAGATGTCTATACTTTTTTTGGTTCTAACTCAGGCAGTTTTGCTCATAATAATGTCCTTGTCCCACACATCTGTCTGTAAGTTGTGAGACCGTGCTGCCTCGGAGTGCTGGTGTAAGCCATGTGCGTTGTGTTTATCCGAAATGCTGAGATTACAGACGAGGGGATTTTCTAGCCTCTCTGTGTGGTGGCCTCTTAATGTGTAGTTTACCAAAGCTCTGGAAAAGAAAGGGTGGATTGAGTGACTTATGTGTCTTAAATTGCATTTTTGGAAACCTGCTTTCTACTTGTGACCCAGGCTGCCTGTTAACACCAGATTATGGCTTTTATTGTGCATGTAGACTATGTGAAAGGGTTTGGAGGAAAATTTGGTGTGCAAACAGACAGACAAGACAAATGTGCCCTTGGCTGGGATCACCAAGAGAAATTACAGCTGCATGAATCCCAAAAAGGTACATTCTCTTTGTCCATAATCAAGACCATTTTAAGAGTTTGTGTCCGTTCTTAGACCAGTCCTTATGTTTTGTATTTGTTGTATTTCTGTTGAAGTGTTGTGTCTTCACCATGTGGCACTGTCCCAGAGCTTCGAAAGCCCCTGAGCTGCAGCGGAGCCCTCACTTACATGAGGGCTGTGTCTCCACAGTGCAGGGCCACGTCAGTGGCACTGCTGGGAGCATTTGCCTTCTGCCCTTTGGGTACTGCACTGAAGCACAGTGCATTTAGGCCCCAGTTCTTGATTATAAAGTGGGCCGTGTTTTGTGTCAGCAGATGCTTCCTTTCTAACCGGAAGTGTTTTATGATCACAACAAGGACTCTGACCCTGGGAGAGTCAGTTCAAGGGGAGCAGAGGCCTTCCGTCTGCCCCACCTAAGCTAGGGTTCAGGCACCCATCCTGTGCCTGGCAGGGGTGGGGGAGGGCGTCCTTTGTATTTGATGTCTCAGCAGCCTGGTTGGACCCTAGAGAGAAACCTGCAAGCATGGAGTGACTTCACTGAACTACTGACAGTACAGTTGTTAGTTGCTTCCAGGTCTGGGCTGAAGTGTTCCCCTTTCAAGTTGTTCCTTAACCATTCAAGCCAACCTCAAATACTCACGCCCCTCCTCTAAGCTTATCCAAGCTCTTGCTTTCTCAAAATGATGTATTGGATGTTGCACATACTCATGTGATTCTAATGCAACCTGTGTTTCCTCTCTTGGTTGTTTTCCCCATTGTCACATGTGGATTTCCAGATTATAAGACTGGTTTCGGAGGCAGATTTGGTGTTCAGTCCGAGAGGCAGGACTCCTCTGCTGTGGGGTTTGATTACAAGGAGAGACTGGCCAAGCACGAGTCCCAGCAAGGCACAGTTGGCCCCCTCCCCACCTCTTCCCACCTTCCCTTGCGGTGCAGCCACTTCTAGCACAGACTTTGGGGTTTACCTTGGTGCTGCAACAGGCTGTCCTAGTCTCCAACTATCAGACCACTGGGAACCTTCAACCCATTGAAACTATGCTCCTTTTCCCATTTCCCCCCCGCCCTCGGACCTTTTAGAGGAAAGTTGGGGTAGAAATGACAGTTCACAGATTATGAACTCTAACCCCATAGTATATCTAGTATCTGGGATGGTCCTGTGATCTTCCAGCAGCATTGTGCACATGTTTGCTTGTTTCTGACCATTCTCTGGGTCATAGTACCAGGCCTTGTTGCCTCTGAGGTTAGGAGAGAGGGGTTTTAGTTTCAGCAGCCCCGACCCTTCCGCCAGAGGCTTGGTAGCAGCAAGGGCTTGAGATAGGCATGTTCTGTGTGATATCTGTGTTTCATTGTGGTGGTGCTTTTTGGATAGGGGTGGATGGTTTTGTTTGTTCTGTTTTTAATGACACCATCCGTGTGCAGGATCTCCACATGGAGCCACACAGTGTGTACATAAAGCAGAAAAGTGACCTTTCTAGGGCCACAGACTGGAATTCCAAATAGCTGACGCATTTTCCTTAGAGCACTTGCTCTCCATCAGAGTTCTGCATCAGAGGACTTGGTTACTAGAACATGGACCGATGATTGAGTAAACAGCAATTTCCAGCAATGCAGGGCAGAGTGTAGGCTTTCAGCGCAGTGTTAGGAACTGCGCAGTGCTCAGGCATGGGGCAGGTGAACACACTTGGGCCTGGCCCTGCAGACTGCATGGAGATGGCCGTGGGCTCTCCTCTGCATTGAGACTGCATGACAGTGTGACTTCCATGTGGGTGCGTGTTGCTGCAGCAGACATATTTGGCTGGCAGAATGTCCACATGGAATATTTTCTTTCTTTTAAAAAGCAAGAGAACAAACTGCGACTGAGCCTCTATTTAGTGCTGGGTAGATCGGGCGCACAGGAGAAAGATGAGAATAAGCCCCGTGGCTGGTGTGGAAGACTGTGCTAGTGAAGTGGCGCATCGCAAAGGCCTGTCCTGTGCCCCCTCCTTGGCTTTTTCCTGCCAGCCTGCTGCCCATCCCCTCCCCTTCCCCCGGGAGAATGCTGGAAGCATGACCACACCTCTGTCCTGCTCCCCTGCCTGTGCACTGGACACTGGGGTCAGACACAACTTGCCTGGTGAGGAAAGCCTGTCCTGTGGCAGTGCTTGGTTCTTTCTGCCAGGGTGCGTTTCCTTGGGCTGTTTCAGACCTGTCTGCATGCACCTGCACTCATCTCCGCCCGGGTCTGTCTTCCACCTCAGGGTAAGTCTTGTGTTTTGTCGCCTTTCAGACTATTCCAAAGGATTCGGCGGGAAGTATGGGGTGCAGAAGGATCGGATGGATAAGGTAAGGTTCTCCAGCTCCAGGGATGGAACTTCCTGCTGGCATGCTCAGGGATTTCTGCAGCCTTCCCTCTGTGTCAGTTGCTATTTGGTGGCTACCATCAGGTGGGCACTCAGCTCGGCTCTGGCAGTCTACCTGTTGAGTTTGCTGTCTCTGTGGCAACAGTAGGCTCATTAACTCAGTCAGGGTCTGACTAGACAGTCTCAGTGCTTGGCCATGGCATAGCATTGAGTGGCTGGGCTGTCACTGGATCATACAGCTATTTGAACTTTCATTATTAATGGTAAGTCAGATTGGAAATCGAGTTAATTGAGACCATTTGTGAGGTCATCTTGCCCTTGGCTGTGGTGACAGGTGGCATGGTGGGGTCTCAGAGCTCTGCTCACGTGAAACTTGTGGCTGACTGACCTTAAAAATGATGAGGGCACTTCCCCATGTGACCAGGGCCCATAGGAGAACCCTGGGAGTGCACTGTAGGGTAGACAGCACAGGCCGAGGGGTCCAGAGGAAGGGATAGTCAGCCCAGTTCTGGAGGGTGGGGAGGAGTTTGCCAGCAGAGACAGGATTGGGAGTCTGCAGAGCAGAGGACAGCATATGTCCTGGTGTGGGGATGGAGTTCCCTGCAGATGCTTTAGAAGGGAGTCCAACAAACCATATCAGGTCCTCACATTGTTAAATGGACACTGGGCCCCTGCATGAGTTAGGCAGGGGGTAAAGGTGGGCTCTTCCCTGAGAAGCCCCTGACTGCACTGTGTAGCTGGTCTAAGATTACTGAGAGGAAGCGGCCCGAGCAGCCCAAACAAGGCATTGGCTTAAGCTGGAGATTGCAAGAGGACAAGCATCAGATGTCATAGGTATACAGGGGGCCGAGTGGCAGGGCTGGGGTTTGTCTTATGGGGCTCGGGAGGAGGGTGGAGCCCAGGTGACCGTGGAGTGGCTGTGGAGCTGGAGAACTTGGGGGAGCACATGTGGTGAGTCTGTGTGAGTCCTGCAGGCCCTCTAGTTCAGGGCTGTGCCTGTCTGATGGCAGGGGTTGGGTCAGACGATGCTGGGCAGGGAGGATCAGTGAGGTGGTGGCAGGGAACCCCGTGAAGTGTCTGGTGGCTGAGGGCCTCTGGGACAGGAGGAAGGAAGGAGCTAATGAATGAGTGAGTCAGAAATTGTGGCTGTGCGGTTGGGAGTGGAGGAAGTTTCTGTCTCTTGTCTGTGGTTGATGTCAGTGGTAATGACAGTGACTGCTGAGCTTGCAGACAGGAAATCCTGTCCTGTCATGGACAGGAGGGAGGTTCAACTAAGGTACGCTGTGATAGGTATGGGTGGGTCAAGGGCAAGGTCTCTGTTGTGGATCCTGGTTCTAGGATGGAATAAGGCTGACGTGGGGAGGAAGGTGCAGGGTCCCGGGAAGGTGGCAAGTGGGAGAGGCTGTGGTCTGCCGGCCAGTCCTAGGCTGGAGTGTAGCTCAGTGGGTTGCTTGCCTCACATGTACAAGTGGGTTCCCCTTGCAGCATGCAGTGCAAACATGGGTCTTGGTGATCGGGGTATGTGAGGAAAGCTGGACACAGTGTGGTAGAGATGAAGGTGACGTGGATGGAGAGTGGGTGTGGACAGAGAGATGGCCCCTACCGGAGCAGCAAGCCAGAGGCCTTTACTGCGGACATTGGGATGAGAAGACCCAGGAGCTGCCCTCTAAAAGCAGAGGGAGGAATCAGGGCACTGGCCTCCCTGCCCAGCCTGAGGCTACAGGGCAGGCAGGAGTTCCCTGGACAGTTGGGTAGGGATTGTTCTGGAAGAGGTGGCAGGCAGTCTAGGGGCAGCATGTTTAGGAAAAGGGAAAGGGTTTAGTCAGGAAATCTGAGCAGCTGAAGCTGTAGACTCAGTAGAGCTGGGTTTAGGCGAAGGCCCCTAGGTGCCATGGACTCTCCAGCTGCATGTGTTGGGCATGGGGGTTGGGAGGGCAGGGGGCAGTGGCTGCTCTGGCCAAGGTGGGAGTTGTTTGGGGTGGGCTCTTGGGCTCCCCTATGGAAGGACAGGTGGGAAGAGGGCTCCTGCGAGCCAAACTGCTCTTTGGTCTCCTGTGTGCAGCTGGAGCCACCTGTGCTGGAGGAAAGTGTAGTTTCACTAGTTTCAGGCAACTGATGGGCTACCTCGGCCCTGCCTTTGGGCTCCATTGTAGTGTGCTGTGTGGGAAAGCCGTGAGTGTTCTGAGCTGAAGCACAGCGCTCCTGTCAGAAATGGTGAAGCTCAAGATGGAACTGAGGAGAGTCATTACTTTCTAAGGACCTTGTCAGCCTGTGCTCAGGACTGCTATTCAGGGCCTGATGTCACAGCAAGTTCCATGGGATATAGCTGAGAGCACAGTTGAAGTGGTGGTGTCATGCTTACAGGGGCATGTGGAGCATCTGGCCAGGCAAGGTCTGTGTGTCCCAAGGGCTGCTCCCCAACAGAGCAGAGAATTGTAGGGAGGACGGTGGGAGGCTCGAGCAGCACAGAGGTGGCTTGTCACTGAGCGGATGTATAGATGTATGTATGTGTGACCCTGACTCATAGTCAGCAGCAAGAGTGTGTGGGAAAACATTGTTGTGCCTCAGTGAATCTGCAGAACACAGTGGCAGAGTGGAAAACCTTAGGCTGCCTGGGTCTTTTGAGGGATCTTGGGAGGCCCTAACATCTCATTAGGTAGAGAGGAGAGAGGAGCACACTCCTGATTTGTTTTGCCATCTCTGCAGAATGCGTCCACCTTTGAAGATGTGGCGCAGGTATCCTCTGCCTACCAGAAGACCGTCCCTGTCGAAGCTGGTAAGTCCTGCACAGCTCCCAAGCACTGTGTGATCTTCCCTGGAGGACAGTCCATGCCCCAGGCTTTTCCCTGGAAAATCCCAAGGGGAAAAGGAAAGTTGGAGAAAAAGAGCCAAGAGCAAAGGGGCGGGGCATATGTGGCTGCTTCTAGAATCCTGTCACCTACAATGCAGGGACCCCGGAGACACGGTTAACCTCTCCTTGCTGTGGAAAGTGTCTCTCACACGATTGTACTCCAGAGCCCCAACATCCTGTGACTGAGGGGCCCCTTAAAAATGGGCAGCAGAAGTCCACTTCTGGCTCACTTTACAGGAGATGTCTGCCAGTAGGAGGTGCATGCCTATAACTCCAGCACTCTGAGAGCCTGAGGCAGGAGGATTGCAAGTTCAAGCCCTGGATTGGCAACTTAGTGAGCACTGTCTAAGGAAACTGTAAAAGACTGGGCCCTGGGCTCAATCTTCAGTACTGCCAAAAAAAAAAAAAAAAAAA